GGAAAGCCAAGGCGAGCCGGAAGCGCCGCCTCACCCGGAGGAACCAGACGACGTGCGAGGTGTGCGCCAAGGAGTGCGGCTCCGTGTCCAGCCTGTACACGCACCTGCGCACAGCCCATCCCGCCATGTTCCCCTACGAGTGCGGCGTTTGCGGTCGGAGGTTCAGCTTGGAGGCGAGCGCGCGCGACCACGAGCGCCGCCACGCCGTCGGTGAGCTGCAGTGCCCCGCGTGCCCGCTCCGCTTCACGCGCATGTCGCACCTGCACCACCACGCCCGCCAGCTGCACCCGGACTTCACGGAGTACCCTTGCCAGTATTGCGGCGCCGTCACGCCCACGGTCGACGCCCTGCACTCGCACATCAAGGTGCACCACGGCGACCGGCTGGGCCTCCCGGCGGACTTCACCTGCGAGGTGTGCAAGGAGAGCTTCCACACGGGCAAGGCGCTGGCCACGCACCGCTCCAGCCGCCACCCAGGCACGGCCGAGTGCGGCTTCTGCGGCGCGCACGTGGGCAGCCGCTACCTCAAGAAGCACATCAACGCCGTGCACACCAAGGAGAAAACGCACCGCTGCCACGAGTGCGGCCAGGACTTCTACTCGCGCACGAGCCTCACGGGCCACCACAAGCGGCACCACGCGCCCAGGAAGCACCTGTGCGAGCAGTGCGGCAAGGGCTACGTCAACAACGTGGAGCTGCAGCGCCACCTGAAGGCGCACCGCAACCAGCGAGACTTCAAGTGCGACGTGTGCGGCCGCTCTTTCCTGAAGGCCGTCGACTTGACCTACCACCGCAGGTCCCACACGGGCGAGCGGCCCCACCAGTGCATGCTGTGCCAGGAGTCCTTCATCCGGCCCCTGGGGCTCCGGAAGCACATGCTCAAGCACACGGCGGCCAGGAAGGGCAAGCGCCTCAAGTACTCCAAGAAGAAGATCGACGAGCTGACCTCCTCCGTGATCTGCCACGACGCGTCGCCGCAGGAGGCAGAAGCGCACACGCCCGCGGACGTCGGGGGGCTCGGCGCGGGGGAAGTCGCCCCTGGGAGCGATCAGCCGCCGCAACACGCGCCGCCCTCCGACCTGCCGCAGACTCTGCAGGTGTTCCCGTCGCCCAGCAGTCTTGCAGCCAGCTCCCTTGCCCAGCCACAGCCTCGCCTGCAGACCACACTGCAGCAGTTGACGCCGTCCACACTGCAGGTGCAACAGCTCGCGGTGACGGACCTAGACGGCAGCCAGCTGGAGGGCCAGCTGGAGCTCTCGCAGGTGGTCGAAGACTTAAGCAGCGGGGAACTGCTGGGGATGGGCCCCGACCTGCTGCTGGAGGCCACCGATGTCCGCGGCGACGACGACGTCGAGGGGGCGATGGGGGAGGGCGGGCACGGCAAGAGGGCGGCCGGAGAGCAGGCCGCACAGCCCGTGCAGGTCATTTACGTGCAGTTCGTTGAGGACGCGACCGGATGGAGGCCGGAGCAGCAGCTGCAACCACTCCCTTAGTGTAAAGGTGGTGTAGGTCGTGGAGTATAAAAACTTTTTATATTGCATTAAAAATGGTACAATGTTAGAAAATTCTCTCTCTCTCTCTCTCTCTCTCTCTCTCTCTCTCTCTCTCTCTCTCTCTCTCTCTCTCTATATATATATATATATATATATATATATATATATATATATATATATATATATATTATACACATATATAAAGTATGTATGTATATATGTATACACATAAGCACAGCTCTGCTGTTTAAAATCTGTGATGATCAAAGTTAAATTAAAAGAAAAAATCTATATATCTTTATTATTAACCTGATAAGTCGGCATAAACCAATGAAAAGATCGACCCAATCAAGGCAGTACTATTACACACAAGCAGGAGACTGACACGCAAACAACTCCCTCGACAATACCTCAAACCACGGATTCTAGGTCAGGATTCGTTGGCTCTTTTAGGTCCGCATCCTCGTTACGGGGGTTGTGGTACTATTATGGGTAGATATGAATGATTGACTTGTGGTAGTGTCTTATGCTGTGCAGAAATTCAACATAAATCGTGTAAGGATATTATTGTAAGGTATGGTATATATGTAAAACCACATGTATGTTCTCACTCAAACACTTTCTTTTTCTGTCTCTCTGCCCCCCTCCCCCCTCTGTCCCTGTCCCTCTCCCCCTTTTTATTTACCGTTTTATTAGTATATTTACTTTTTGTGAGAATTTATTATCAACGTTCAAGATCTGTTTGGTCATCTGAACGTAAACTATAGTAAGTGAAGTTGAACAGATGCCTTTACATTTCAGGCCCAGAGAGAGGAGGAGGAGGTCGCGCCCTCAAAGCTGGATACGAACCACCTCGACGGCGCGGATGCAGGGCCGGGTGAGCCCTCGAACTCCGTCCGTCGCTCCGGGAGGCAACGACGACCGTCCGCCCGGCACCCCCGCCCACATGCCGCCCCCGCGCCCTCCCTCGTCAGGCCAGCGCCGCCGTCCCCTTCTAGTAACATCCCGCCCGAAGAGCTGGCGGCGAAGCTCAACTTCGACGAACTTGTGTGCGGCTGCGGCGAGACCCTGGCATCGCGGACGGACTACGTGGACCATGTCCTGACGCACGTGGCGGGGGCCTTCCGCTGCCCTCAGTGCCCGTGCGTGTATACGTGCTCGTCCCGCCTGGCGCGCCACCAGCGCCTCCTGCACTCCCGAGGGGACACGCCCAGCGACGCCCTCCCGCACGGCTCTCCGGCCGCTGCTCCGGCCGACGGCGTCGAAGAGCGGTGCCACCTGTGCGCGGACGCGGTAAGCGGCGGCGACGGGGACCTGCGCAACCACATGCGGGTGCACCTCTGCGGCGAGCACGAGTGCCCCGTGTGCGCACTCCGGCTCGACACGTCCTACGCCATGGAGATGCACGTGCAGCGGAAGCACCCGAGCCTCCTGCACGCCTTCCTCAAGAGCGAGGACTCGCTGAAGGACGAGAGCTCGAAGAGCGAGGATTCGGGCGGGCTTCCCGTGCGGTGCGACGTGTGCGGCAAGGTCGTGGCCACGCCCTCGCGCCTCGCCCGCCACAGGTACCTGCAGCACCCGGAGCACTACCCGTGGCCGTGCGCCGCGTGCACGCTGGCCTTCCCGTCGCTGCACGCCCGCGACCACCACGTGTGTCCGCACCGGCGGAAGGGCGGCAAGGAGGCGTCCGGCGACGGCAAGAAGAACGAGTGCCTGGTGTGCAACACGGCGTTCAAGTCGCGGGTGAGCCTGGAGTGCCACATGCGGCGCGCGCACCCGACCGAGGCGGCGGGCCCGCACGCGTGCCCCGTGTGCGGCCGCAGTCTCAGCTCTCGCAAGGCGCTGACGGACCATCTGCGGTGCCACCGCCGCGAGGGCTTCGCCTGCGAGTTCTGCGGCGCCAGGCTCAAGACCCTCGACTCCCTGAACGTGCACATCAACGAGATCCACACGCACGTAGTCCGCCTGCAGTGCCGCCTGTGCTCGCAGGTGTTCTTCTCGTCGGGGCGCCTGTCATACCACATGAAGCGCCACCACACGGACCGCCGCTCCTACACCAACCTGTGCCATCTTTGCGGGAAGGCGTACCCGTATCCGAGCGAGCTGCGGCTACACCTGCGTGCACACCGCAACGAGCGCCCCTACAGGTGCGACCAGTGCCAGAAGACGTTCCTCAAGCAGGGAGACCTCACCTACCACCGGCGCTCGCACACGGGCGAGCGCCCCCACAAGTGCCCGCACTGCGACGCGCGCTTCCCCAGGCCCAACACCCTCATGAGCCACATCCGCCAGCAGCACCGCGACACTGCCGCTATCGCCGCGCCGACTGCCACCGCCACCACTGCTGTCAACACCGCCGCCACCGCCACGGACGCCGCTCCCTCCGCCATCGCGCCGGAGGCCGTCGTCACCACCGCCGCCGTGGGGCCCTACGTGAGCAGCCCGCCCTCCACCGTGGCGCCGCCGTCGGTCTCGGCCTACCTGCCCGCGGGCGTGCCTGTGTCTGCGCCGGCCGCCGTGTCCCTGCAGCACCACCGCCCCCCGACCGCGGTGACGGTGATGGGGGTGGCGGGCGGCGTAGGGCGCGAGGGCGGCGAGGCGACCCTGGTGCCCGTGGTGGAGGGGCAGCTGGTGGAGGCCGTGGTGGAGGGCCAGATGACGGAGATGCAACCCGTCCAGTATGTGCAGGTGGATGGGCTGTCGGCTGGACAAACCGTGCAGACTGTGCAGGCCGTGCAGGCCGTGCCGCACATGGTGGAGGGCATGGAGTACGACGAGGCGGGCAGCGTGCCCTACCAGATCGTGCATCTGCAGATCCTGCAATAGACGGGCCGTGTGCAGCGCTCTCTGGGGAAGAGAGGGACGACGCTTCTGTGTCTGAGAGACGTGTGCTGTGCCTGCACAAAGCATTTGCTGTGAAATCTGCTCTGCTCTCTTTCGTAGTCGTGGGAGCAGTTGCAGGATGATCGAACAGAGATCTGTTGTCGTTATCGAATGATATCAGTATCATAATTATGTCATTGTGGTATTATTTTTATTTTCATTACTTTTGTAATATTGTTATAACCATAGTAACATCATTATTGTTATCGAGAATGTTGTTAATTAACATGCTGATAGTCATAGTGAAGATGACTCTAATACTTTTTATAATAATGATGATTATTATTGTGACAACGTTGTTATCATGGCCGTCACTCTGTCGTAACTGCCATTAACGTCCTCACCAGCCTCATCACAGGGTAACAAGGCCATTCGAACCAACAAGACCACAATCGTCACCGCAACCTTGTCCCCATCATCGCCATCATGACCATCATCACCTTTATCGTCATCACGGCCATTCTCATTACCATCACCATCCCCATCATCCCCATCACCACTACAGCCAGCACCCACTTCGACATTACGACCGCCCGTTGCATGCTCGTCAGCCAAACCGACTTGATAGCAAGGTCTCTATATAAGTACTTTTTTAGAGCTTGCTTGGCAGTGGGTCGTCCCCAA